TCCAAGTCTCTCCTAATCGTAATTCGATTTTCAGACTTAACCGTCAGGTTCTAATAAAAATAATTTTAAGTTCAATAATAATTGTCTCTCAACGGTTTCAAAGTATATCTGTCACTCTCAAGTACTTCCGTTATTTCGAATGAAACTTCAAACTTAAGATCTAGGTAACTTTATTTAATACCTCGTTAATTTTTAAGCAACATGATCTTCTACTTTTTTGTAATAACTGTCATAGCTTTATTACTATTAAATCTCAACTTATTACTCTGCTACAACTTTCATATTAACATATCTTGAACACTCTGTATATTTAAACTGACTTAGTCTTTACTATCAATGGATACTAACCAAAATACCCGTATTAGTTTACCTATTAATGTTTACACTCTTGCCATAAAACAACAGCACGACACAGAGTTTCCAGACGGTCACCCGTCCATCAACCAGTATCGCCTTACGTCGCTTAACTTCGGTGATCTCATGGGAACCGGTGTTTCGACCTAGCTGGGCCGTTGCTTTAACAGAATAGTCGTAATAACTAAACTTGTCCTATTACATTTTACCGAAATCGTCAACTAGATTCGATGACAATTAACATGTTATTTAGAGTACTCAAGACACATTTAACTCAACATAACCCTGTGGCTATTAAGTGCGAATTTATATCTTGTAACACAAAACTCACGAAAATTTTAATTTGCAAAGCGTCTTCTTTAGTTACAAATTATGCTTGACATAAACAACAATATGATTATAGTGCTAGACTGATATTTACATAGTTTACAAGTAGTACCATTATTGGCAGCAAATTTATCACCATTGACACTTCTTCAAAACAATAATAATCATAAACTTTGTTCAGTGTTTTATTATGACTAACAATGTCACTACTAATATTATTTAATTAAAAAAAAATATTTCTCTTTGACCTACTCAAAAATATTGATAATCTTGATTTTAAGAATATTCAAAATTTTTAATGTAATGTTTATACCAAAGCCCTGACTAACAATTACACAACTAAACATTTATATCTTGCCTTAAATAATCCTATGGAACAACATGAAACATAATCTTTAATGGACGATTATTTATTTTTACTTCAGTTAACATCTGTAAATAATAATCAAAGCTTACAGAATTCAAACATTCATAGTTTAAGAAATTCTCCAAACCCTAATACCATTCACAAATTCACAATTCAAAATAATTTAAAATATTGCAAATTCCCTAAATCATTGCCCTTGTTACTGCTTGAAAATCTTTTAGAATTCTCTAACTTATAACAATCTCTTTAACCCTTGTTTATATCTCAAATATCGAATCAATCATTTTTATTACTATTAATGATCATTATTGGAATATTTCCTAAAGTACTAAAGACTGGTAAAGTATTACCAGTTTTTAAAAAGGTGACCCATTATCTGTTGATAACTATAGACCTGTGACGAGTTTTTTAGATAGGCTACAGCTATTTTTGACCAAGTTTAACGTAATTCCTGAAAGTCAGCATGGATTTGTTAGAAATAAATCTACCATAACAGCATTAACATGTTTTTACGAGAAAATTGTGAAATTTGTGGAAGCAGGCGAATTTCCTATTGGAATATTTTGCGATCTAAGTAGGGCATTTGACTGTATCGATCATAAAAAAATGATACATAGGCTTGAGAACTCTGGAGTGCGTGGCTGTGCGTTAAATTGGCTCAAGACTTTTCTGATAAATAGACGTCAGTACGTCCAGTTATCGCACTTTCAAAATGGTAATTCTAAGCAGTACAGCTCTAATACTGAATATGTAAATACGGGAGTCCCAGAAGGTTCAGTCTTAGGGCCTGTGATGTTTTTAATTTATGTTGCCGAAATGGATTTATTTTCACCATTGGCACATGTAACTGTTTATGCGGATGATACATCAGTTATACTATCCGATTCTGAAGATAGCGTTTTGGAAAAAAAATGTATGGATTTTTTGCAAAATTTGCATTCGTGGTTTAGTGACAATTCATAATCGTCAAAAAAACTGTGAAAAAAATTTAATATCACTTATCATAACGCTGTCTTACAGCAGGATTGTAGTAGTATAAAATTTCTTGGTTTAATTCTAGACGAATGTCTTACATGGAATCTTCATTGTGACAGCTTATTACCAAAATTAAATTCTACATTATACCTTTTTAGAAATCTCAGAGATATTATATCTAAACAACAATTAACAAATATATATTACGCATACGTCGAATCAAGATTACGCTATGGCATAATACTGTGGGGAACATCCACTAGGATTAAGTAGGTTTTCACTGTCCAAAAAAAATACTTAGGTGTATTGCTCGTGTTTCTCCAAGGCAAACTTGTCGAGATTTATTTAGAGAATATAAGTTACTAACTTTGACGAGTATCTTTATTCAAGAGCTGTGTATATTTGTTTATAAACACCAGCAAAATATAAACTAATTTCTGAAGTCCATAATTTCAATACAAGAACTAATCATAAATTTTATCTAATACCATGTCGTACTAATATAATGTTAAATTCACCGCAGTGTTTAGGATTAAGAATGTTTAATTGCTTACCAACTGAATTTAAAATAAGTAAGAATATAAATGTTTTTAGAAATAAGCTGAAAAATTTTTTATTAGAAAAAGTATATTACAACATAAATGAATTTTTTATGGAAAATGTATAATAAATTGTTAAAATCATACGAAGAAAAAAGAAAGATATTATTTGTATCAGTATTTTTTCGTTTTCACATAGATGCATAGGTAAAAGGTTTATTATTGTATTTGTTTTGACTATTCTCTCACAATTTTATATTTTAATTTAGAAATAAAGTTTATTATTTTATTATTATTATCTGTTTGGGCTCTAAAACTACTAAATGTTCCAACTGCTTAATATAAATGCTGCAATGCTCAATCTAAACACAGCAATGCTCAATCTAAACGCAGCAATGCTCCGTCTAAATGCAGCATTTGCTCCTGATTTGCGACATAAGGCCTTGACTCATTTTCGTTGAAAATTTACTTAATTAAATACCAAATTAATTAATTAACTTTAACTGTTAATTTTTCGTACTCTTCCAAAGCCACAAACAGACAACCAATCGATTTGTAAACCTAATTAGAAACTGTGTCCTTATCTTATTCAAATGCATCCTCCAAGTTTCACCATGGAACCGACAACAAGATGGCGACAATGCATTCCCAAGCCGGCTCTTTCTTTTGTCTTTCCGAGACCACGTGCAAGACACCGCGCACCTACCGGCACACCACGCCGACTGCCCATCAGTGCTGCCACTAAACTAATTGAAATAGTACTAGATCCTCAAAAAAAAGAGTAGTAGATAAAGGCGGAAGAGTAGTAGCAGTGTGGTTGCGAATGTGATTAACCTTCTTTAGTAGGTTGCTATTTTTTCTCAATGTCGAAAAAATTAATAGTAAATAGACGATATTAAAGGCCCATAAGGTATTAACCTTAGCATTAACATAGGGTATTCGTTTTTTTAAAATCCTTGACGTCTGTCAAAATTCGTGTCGGAGAATTGTGGCACTACTGATATTAATAACTGACAACGGACTAATAAAATCAAAGATATTTAAACTCGGTTTTATATTACGATATTTGAACTTGAGTTTAAATATCTTTGAATAAAATGAAATAATCTTGTGCCGAGTGCTGCCTGCGATGATATGAACAGTGAACAACAAAATAAAGAATGCTGATTGAAAACAACTTTTTATTTAAAAAAAAATGTGACAAAGTATAATATAATAACGGAACCTTCGTTTGTATATTCTGCGACCTTCATTGTGCTGCGTTTAGTTGTTTAGAACTGTTTATTGTTTATTTATTTTTTATTGTTTTTTTTATCTATTTACATTTTTTTTAACAAATTTGGTGTGGGTTCCCATTTATAGCATGGTTGAGAACCCAACATATCCCTGGCTTGCATTATACTATCGCAAGTGCTAATTTCTAGGCAATTTCTTAACCATTGCCTGGAAACTTATATGGTGAAATTTTGATAAAATAATTTAGTACACACTAAAAACACGGTATGTCGCTAGTGGTAGGAAAATAATTTTTAGAGGCTACTAGTTTATTTGGTTGCCTGTGATATGCATATACAGGGTGTTTCCTAATTAATCTAAAAAATCGTTAGAAAACGAATTAAGGCGGGCTCTTAATAAGTATATTTATTTTTTTCTCGACAACCGTTTGATGAACAAGAAAAACTCAAAAGATCAGTCAAGGAAAAAATATATTTTCTTTAAAAAAGCAGTGGTGTACCAGTTATGTTAAGCAAAAAAATCGATTTTGTTTTAATTTTTAACACCATGTAGATCAGAAAGGAAGTACTTTAGACCCAATGGTTATAATATAAAAATTGTTTTAAGAACACATGAGGAATCACACCATAATTTTTTAGACTAATTCGAAAACACCCTGTATATTCTCAACTTGACAATGACTGCTGATAAATCAAAAAATACCTTTTCAGTGAAAAAAGCCTGATTTTCGCAGGAAAAATTTTGATTTTTATTGAATTTGGGCCTGCGTCTGCAAATACCGGTTTGTTTTTTAATTTTCTATCTATCTAAATTTTAAATATCATAGTCAGAAATAGTTTTATTTTTTATAACTGTAAAAATGGTGTTTTCTTGTTGTGTTGCATCTTGCAAAGAAACTAACAAAACTGCAAACATGTACGTGTTTTCAAAAGACGATAAGGTATGCGTCTTAGATAAAAGAAAAATATATATTTTATGTATTCGTTGTTTGATTTTTTTTTCGTTCGCTTTAAAATCTATAAATCTCGGTCTATTCATTAGACAGCCAGTCGACTTACGACCACTTCGCTGTCGTATCGGTTTCTACGTGCTTTCTAAAATCTAATTCGCACTCTAATTCTTCATTTGTAAACTTGTTCGATCGGTTTTCGATATTCTCAACTTCTAGAAACTTGCGCATTGCGTTTTTCACTGAGTTATTTTCATTTACTGTTAAAAAAACACTGAGGAATGTTTATGTCCTTGAGATCTCGATTAACGTGTAAATCTAAAGGGCCCGCTATTATCCATCCAAACTTTGTGTTTTGTAAAATCGGTGAGTTTCGTCCTAACTTAATTTGTTCGCTATTCAAACATTTAAAAAATAACTCTACCCCGATTAACAGGTCGATATTTCGAGGCTCACTAAATTCGGAATCCGCTAATTCCAAGTTCTGCGGTATTTTTATTATATCGGGTTCAAATGAAATTTGCGGTAATTTAGTTGTTATTTTATCGATTACTAAGAACTCAACATTCGATTGAAATGATTCATTGATTGATTTTAATTTAGTGTTGAATTTGGCATACATGTTGCATCGTACATTATTTATTCCTAGAATCGACGAATTTAACTTTTTTGACGGTATATTTAAACGTTCAAATAACTCTTTAGTGCAAAAGTCTGATTGACTTCCCGAATCTAACAATGCACGACATCTTACCGGTCTATTATTCACATCGAATACCTCCACCATCGCGGTAGCGAGTAAAATCTGTTCCGCATGTCGCGACGATAACTCCCTATTCGACAATTCAAATTTTGTATTTGCCGCGCGCGTCAACATGCAAGCACCGGAAGCACGCGCGTCAGCTGGCCGCGGTGACGACACTTCTCCAGCCGAAGAGCTCGTTCCGCTGTTGCCGGCTTTTACGGTTGGAATCTTACCTGAATTATGGTCGAAATTTTCATTCGGATTATTATCGTTTCTTGCGACATTACAATTTTGATTTGAATTCTGGTTATTATGTGCGTTTTGATTCGGTTTTGAATTCTGGTAATTATGTGCGTTTTGATTCGTTTTTGAATTTTGGTAATTAGGCGAAAAGTTAAAATCGTGTAAAACAGAATTGTGTCTACGATTACAAATTCTGCAGTTTTTTCCTTGGCAAATTGTCACGTCATGTCCTGATCGTAAACAATTTGTGCATATGCCTAAACGTTTCAGTTCAAAATACCTGTCTTTAATCGCAAGCGTTAGTAATTTTTGACATTTGTACGCAAAATGATTTGTTTGTTTACAAAATGTACAATATACTTGTGTTTCTCGATTAGTTGGTGACTCGTTTGAGCTGAGATGTGCTAATGTACGTTGTTTGAAATTAGGTGTCGTCGCTTGCTGTTTGTGGTCTATAATTTCTAAAATTTGACATTTGTTTTTTAGAAACTGTAGGAATTCCTCGAGAGTAGGCGATATTTTGTTATTCGAAATTTCCCATTCTTTTCGCGTATGGGCATCTAATTTTAATGATATTAAATATATTACTAGTGTATCCCAATGTTCGACGAGTTGTTCAAGACTTGTTAACGCACGAATATTTTTTACTACGACGTCGATTAGTTTACGTAACGATTCATGTGATTCTTTAGCCACGGGCTGCATGTCGAATAAGTTTTTAACGTGATTGTGAATTAAAACGCGTTTATTCTCGTATCTTTCGCGTAATAAGTCTAAAGCTTTATCGTAGTTGTCTTCGCAAATTTCTAACAAATGAAGAACTTGAATTGCTTCTACGCGTAGACACGATTGTAAGTAGTAAAATTTCTGTATCTTGGATAGCTCTGAATTTTGGTCTACTAAAGCTCGAAAAATTTCGTAAAACTGTAACCATCCCTCATACGAACCGCTGAATTGAGGTAAGGTTATCGCTTGTAATTTTGTTGCGTTATTTGTACTCGTAGTCGATATCATGTTCGTGTGTGTACTCTGCGACGATCTACTAGCATTTTGAGACGCGTTCTGTTCATTCTGTTCGATCATTTCTAACGCCACTGTCGCGAGACCGTAATATTTGTCTTCGAACGATTGTCTCTCGACTTCGCGCCCTGCATCTAGCTCCTCCAACTGCGACTGAACCGCCTGGAATTCGTCCCAGGTTGCATCGATATTTTTTACTCGTAATTTCAGCCTGGTGATGTTAATATTTCCGCTTTTTAGAAAATTCGAAAACCGCGTTAGGTTCCCTTTCAGTTGTCCCCTTCGAAGCACTAAACTTTTAATTTTCTCGTCGTTCGTTTTATTGCTCTCTCCCGAATTGAACATTTTGAGTTTTCCGTATGTGAATTTACAACGCAATATTTTTGATATGTAAATAAATCGTTACTTTGCTCACTCGAATCTAGCATGCATGAATGGTATTAACTTGTAGGATACTAAGCAATGGATATGTAATAGGAAATTGGAATAGACCTGCTTGTTAACTTCTTGTGGTACCATCTGACAACGTTGCCTTCTGCTGCACTTCAATGGCTAACCTCTTCGCGTAATTATTTACTTTTTATTCCGATTATCACGAAATCCGGCTCGAAGGACCAAGAATTTTATGTGTATACTCAGTGGACTGTATTTAAATAAAGATTATGCACTTTTTACTTATTATTTATTGTTTAAAACTGCAAAATACATTAACAAACTGGGCTACGCCTATCCGACGATAAATCGTGGTTACAGAGGAATTCGGTACTCATTAGAGAATGTTCGTCTTCGTTCTTCTTTGGAGAACACTGTGGACAGTTGCTTCTAATGAAACCGGCAGCACGCGTAGCGCGCAATACCAGCATTGTTGGGCTCCTTTTGCTATACAACTACGATACTTCAACTATTCTAGCTTCTATATATATACATAATATGGCCCATACCTACTACACGCAGAAACGTCGATTTCATAATTTTCTTAATGTAATTAATATCATATATACTTTATTAAAGTGTTAAAAAACATCTTTGTACTTATAAGAATTTCAGCCGAAATATCATAAACAAACTTCAATCAAATCTAACCGCATGGAACTGTTGTCTTTTACATGACCAAAATTACGACAATACATCGGGGACGTATATATTTGTCTGCATTTTTATTTCATGAGTCACTGAGTTCAAACGTTTCTTCAACTATTCTAGCTTCTTAACGTCTTGAATTTCTTCGGTTATTGTATTATTTGGAAGTTGGTAACGTAGAACAGGCTTTAAAAGAAAAACGAAAATGCCAGTGGTATCACTTTTTATCTTGATCATTTACTTAATGATTCTACGATGTAATACGTAACC